GTCTGCCATCCAGTCGTAATAGTAATCGTCGTCTTCCTCCCTCGCCCGGACCCTGTTCGCCTTACTCTGTCCCATCACCTCCTCCCTTTGACTTGTTACCTTCTTCTTCCTCTTCCATTTCAGCAGCCCAAAGCAACAAAACCCAGACTTCTTTCCCATTCCGATCTTGCGATAATATGTATCTCTGTTGATATCTCGAAGATGTCGATTGATCTTTCTGATAGATGCTTAAGGCCAAGAGGGGTGGGGGACTGGGTACTACTTATAGTGGCAGCTAGGCGATCCAAGGGCGGAGAATCTATACTTGTAGGGATTGGATTATACAACGCCGTTGATTTTGATTGATGGTGGAGATGCAATGGAATGGAATAGAATCTATGTAATTACGTCGCAAGCTAATTATTACTCCGTAATTAGATAAGCGCGCTACAGCATTGCGTGCTGTAAAGCAGTGCATGTTGCGCAAATTAATTAATTACAGCTACTATATGCAAGTATTAGACCCCTCCACTGAACAAAATCTGTCCTAACAATAGTTGTTAATTGACTTTTCTTTGGCAAACAAAATCAATTTTGACTTATGATATTTTTTAATACAAACATTTTCAATCAAGTAAATTCAATATGACAAACATTTTCGGGACAGAGCTAGACAGCTAGTACATCCGGAAACTTGATTGAGATTAATTATGAGCCCGCTTGGTAACATTGAAATTGGCTAAATCAGCTGATTGTGGTTAAATTTATGAAGTTCGGGTTGAAATGACTAGATTGGCTGATTCTGCTGATTTATGAAAAAATTATATTTAAAATATATTTTATTAATACTATAAAAGAAAAATTATACTCCGTATGAAAAATAGTTAAAATGATCATCTACCGTAATTTCAGCCAAAACAGTCACAAAAGTAACTTCAACCTTACTTTTTCTAATTATTACAAAATTTAGACCGTGAAATCAAAACTTACTTGTTTTGTTAAAATTTTGGATGATAAACCTGATAAGCCAAACAACAGAGTCACTAAAAGGGCTCAAAAGTTACGTGTTTGGTGAAAAAAATGACTAATAAGGCTAATAAGCTGAAACACTTGAGATTACCAAATGAGCTCTATGTGTTTCAAAGAAAAGATCGAATAATTGAAATTAAGGAGTATACATAATTCTTCGAGCAAACACAAGCATAGGACTAAGGAGGGCTCTTCTCATCAGGCCGGCCTGACGGGCTGCCCCGTCCGGCCGAGCCCGTTTGGGCACCTTCCCGGTGGCATTTTTTGATGAAATTTTTTGATCATGTTCCTCATCAAGTCTAGTTTGTCCATACCAGATTTTAGCTCAAAATTCGATCGGGAAGGTTGTCAAATGATTTTTTCAAGTTAACTGGTCCGGAAAATACATATTCCGATCGAATTTTGACGACCTTCCCGATCGAATTTTGAGCTAAAATCATTTGACGACCTTCCCGATCGAATTTTGAGCTGAAATTTGGTATGGACAAACTAGACTTGATGAGGAACATGCTCAAAAAATTTCATCAAAAAATTCCACCGGGAAGGTGCCCAAACGGGCTCGGCCGGACGGGGCAGCCCATCAGGCCGGCCTGACATGAAGTTTTCTCTAGGACTAAGTATGTTTTATTCTCTAAAAAAACTTAATCACTTAATTACTTCTATTCTTGAATTTTGTGTATGTTTTAGTCTTATATTAAGGAATTTTTATAATACATAGTTACATACTAATTTCATACTCTCACTGTTTAAATTGTAGAATTTGCTCATTATAGGATAACAAATAGATAAAATTCAATAATATGACTAAATATGTTGTATTCCTCAAATATGACTTATTTAGTTCTATTAAAAGAATAACTTGGAATAAAGGTTTCCAAAATAGGAGGGGTTAGTTGAGTCATATTTTGATAATAACATAATGATTATCCTGTTTATGATTTTTGTCTTTGTTTTAGTCTTATTCAGAGTACGGTATTTCCTTTTTAAATATATAAGCATGTGTTTTTTTGTTAATTATATGCTCTAATCTCTTGTAGAGACTTTGCTTACGTGAAAACTTTGTTGATGCTCTCTTCTTCTATTTGAAATTTTACAAAAAGATATTAAATTATTAATGCAAATATATTTTGTAAATTACATTTTTATTGAGCGTGTGTACATGTTTTTGCCTAGCTTCTGAGGGACTTCTTCCAATTAAGTTCCAACATTTGACCAACTATCATCCTTAATTCCTTTTAATAATTGCTATTTCTATCTCCGTGTTCTTTGATACGATATATATTAGCGTGTTGCTAGTTTTGTTAGTGGGACGAAAGTCACGAAACAAGAGAAGAATAGAACCTTACTTCACGAGGAACATGTATACGTACAGACAATGAGCATTCCGCCGTGTTAACTGTATATGAGTGTTTAATGAAAAATTAAACCTTATTCCAGAAACAAGAGAAGAATAGAACCTTATTTCACTTTTTTTTGTTGTACTTTCTCACATTTATATTATTTGTTTTTCTTAACGCTAACATTCTTGATCGGGATGAATTTGGAACATGTAAGCACTTTGTTTTGGAGAGTGTCACACTAATGTCACCAAATCACAAAATATTTACCATTTAAAATTCCACTTTTTACGAATCTTCTCAATTCTAATAACAGTTTCACCTAATTGTAATTCTAACATAATGTACCTTATATTTACTTCATTTTCTTTCTCCAATTTGTGACTGAATTTTTTTTCTTTGAAAACCGTTAAATCAAATATATACTCCCTCCGTCCCAAACTCCCAATATAAAGAGCACATTTGTGTTTTCAAACATTTTTAGGAGGAACACGGTACGTTTCTCACTATTTAGACACTGTTTGCCCCCTGTTTGGACACTGTTTGACACAGTTTAGACATTGTTTGACACTTTTTGGTACTATTTAATTTCTTGCACTGTTTTGTTTGTCAAAAAAGGAAATGTGTCTTTTATATTGGGATAGCCCAAAAACAAGTATTTGTCTTTTATTTTGGGACGGAGGAAGTATATAAACTTTTGTTGATCTTTTCAAAATCGTCTCATATATCACTTTTCTTTTTTCCATTTTGAAGTTTTTTTTGTGTTTATTTTTATCCTCTGGACACTTTTTATTTGTTTATTTTCATCTTGTTATTTTTATTTATTCTCCATCTTTATATGTATTCACTTTTCCGCATAATCGAATGATTTTGTTTTTTGAGTTTCCTCTCCATAGTTTTTTTGTATTTTTCTTCTTCCCCACTTTTATTTATGTTTCCCATTTCATGAAATCTCGTCAGCTTAATTCTTCTTTATAAAGACTTTATTCCGGCCCTACGCGTTCATGATCATTTTTCTTTACTTTCTTTTCTCCTCTATTTAGTTGTTCTTCTCGTTTTATTTTCATTTCTTTCTCATCTTCTTCCCCTTTTTGCCACATCCTTTTTTGATAGTTCCTAAGGTCTTGTTTCGTTCAAAGGAAGGGGGGAAGGGGAGAATCAAGGAGGGAAGGGAAGGGGAAGGAAGGATTTTGATAAAAATTTGTGTTTGGTTGGAGGAAATAGGAGGAAAGGTTTAATAAAAATATTTTCCCAATTTACCTATACTTAATAGCTTACTTAAAAAAATAGATACATCTCTAACTATGTTGAATATTACTCATATGATCATGAGTTGTAATATTTTTTTATTTTTATTTTTTAACTTTTTTAATTTTATAATTTTTTTTAATTTTTAGTTTTTTTAGTTTTTTTTTTAATTTAATTTTTTAATTTTTTAATTTTAACATTTTTTAATTTTTAATTTTTTTAATTTTTAAATTTTTTTTAATTTTTTTTATTTTGAAATTTTTAAATTTTTTAATTTTTCAAAACTTTTAATTTTTTACCTTTGTATATTACAACGTTTTGTCCATTCAAGTAGGAGATGGATATAGTTTGTGGTTATCAACATGTTTCCTCCGAAATATCCCGATTTGGAGGGTTTAGAATGGGAGGAAGTGGAGGATTTTGGAAGTCTTCCACTTTTCTTCCCTTCCCCCCTATTTCCTTCAACCAAACACACACAAATCCCTCACTTCCCTTCCCTCACCTCCGAAAACCTCCAACCAAACAGGGCTTAAATGGTTAGTGATTTCTAATAACTTGCTGCTCTAGGGTTTTTCTTTTTTCGATCTTCTCCTTTTAACTAATCCCTTCCGCCCTATCCAATTTCGTGTAAAGAGTACATATCGATCAATTTTTCTCTCTTTTATCTTCAATTCCTTTTCGCCGATTTTTGTGTTTTTCTTTTTCTTCATTTTCATTCATCCCAAGTGTTCATCAAAATAGGTTTTCCCATATTAACTTGAATTAAATAATGATGGATTCACTTAGGTCTTGTGTGGTTCAACGGAGGAGGGGAAAGGGGAGAGTCAAGGAGGGAAGGGAAGGGAAGAGGAAGGCCGGAAGGATTTTGATAAAAATTTGTTTTTGGTTGGAGGAAATAGGAGGAAATTAAAGGTTTAATGAAAATATTTTCGCAATTTACCTTTATTTGATAGCTTACTTAAAAAATAGATACATGTCTAACTATTGTAAATATTACTCCTATGGTCATGAGTCATAATTTTATTTTATTTTTTATTTTTTGATTTTTTACTTTTTTAATTTATAATTTTTATTTTTTATTTTTATTTTTATTTATTTTTTATTTTTTAAATTTTTAATTTTTAAAATTTTTTATTTTTAAATTTTAAAATTTATATTTTTTAATTTTTAAAATTTTTAATCTTTAAATTTTTTATTTTTAGGTTTTTTAATTTTTCAAAACTTTTTGTTTTTTTACTTTTTTTGTATTATAACATTTTGTCCATTCACGTAGGAGATGGATAATTTGTGGTTATCAACACGTTTCCTCCGAAATACCCCGATTTGGAGGGTTTAGAATGAGAGGGAGTGGAGGATTTTGGAAGACTTCCATTTTCCTCCTCTTCCCTTCGATTTCCTTCAACCAAACACACACAAATCCCTCAATTCCCTCCTCTCCCCTCCGAAACCCTCCAACCAAACAGGGCCTCAGAAAATATGATTTTATATGCGAAATCGTTTTGAAGAGATTCAAGAGAAGTGAAAAAGTACAAACTTGTGGGATTTAAATCTTATGTCTTGTCAAGTTTTTCTCTCTCTAGGGTTATCGGCCGATAACCCTTAGCCTTGTTTTGTCCGCCTTCGTGTTTATCGAAGGGCGAGATTGATTGGTGGAGTTGGGCGGTGCTGTTGGAGGTCGGGACAGTAGCGCGATTAGGATTGGAGGAGAGGGCGGTGGTCTTGAATATTTATTTGGGCCATTCGGAAGCTAGGGAAGGCACGACGAAACCGAGAGAACGGTTTCGTGTTGGTGGTTGCTGTTATCACGACTCACAGTAGAAGGGATATCGGCGGGGGAATTAGGAAGGTAGATGGAAATTTTAGTTGATCGTTACAAGCAGATGGTGATTGGTGATGATGAAGAAGAGCTAAACCTCGATGAATGAGAGGTTGAAGAAGGCTCGATAGAGGCGGCGGCGACGAGTTTCCCAGTGATCGGCCAAGTACTGACAGACCGCAAAGTCAAATTCCCGGATCTCAAAGAAACGATGCTTACACTTTGGAGGTCGGGGAAAGGTATGTCAGTGAAAGAAATTGGCGATAAAAGGTATATGTTTTCGTTTAACCATCATTTTGATATGAAGCGTGTGCTTGATATGAAGGAGGTCCTTGGCAGTTTGAGCGTAGTCTATTAATGTTAAAAGAGGTTTTGCCTGATGATATTCCACACGAAATTATTTTAAATGAGACTGAATTTTGGGTTCAGATTCATAATGTCCCCTACAGTCTTGTTAATTTAGGCACTGCCAGACGTGTTGGAAATTTCATAGGGGGATTTATTAAATATGATGATAACCAGAAAAGTGATAGATTAGAGCCATATATGAGAGTTAGGGTTCTTATGAAGATGGATAAATCGCTCAAGAAGGGGACAAATCTGAAAAAATATGGTAAAAGTTTTTGGGTAGATTTTAAATATGAAGGATTACCCAACTTTTGCTTTATCTGTGGTTTAATTGGACATTCAGATAATTTCTGTCCCTTAAATTATGAGGAAGGATTAGTTTTAGAAAAAAAAATGGAACCCAGCTTAGAGCAGGTAGCGGGGTGAAGACAAGCCCAACAGGAGGGCTCTTGGGGGGTTCATCGAGCTCTGGCAGAACGGGTGGGGGTCTAAGGGCATCCAAATCAGAAGGAAAGATGGCAGAAAAGGAGAATGTGATAATGATTGAATCAGCCCAAAGTTTTACACAAGGAGGGGAGGAGCTTAAAGAAGAGGTTTCTAAGAGGAGGAAGATCTAGGAGACCCAGACAGAGAAGGGGCAAGTGGAGGACACCATGGCTATGGATGGGGCAAAAAATGGGGAGGAGGGGGGCTTTGCTTCTTAAGTCCGCCGAAGATGCTGGTTGGAGGCTGCAAATCAGAGGGATGGTTCAAGTTTTCTGGCTGCGACAGGAGTGTTTTTTATTTCGTTTTATTTGCTACTTTAGCAATTGTTGCTTTTTTTTTGTGTTTGTTTTTTCGTTTATCTCCCCGTTTGTAAGACGTTGACTTTGGATATGGGAGATAAGAGGAATAACGTAACCGTTTTTGGCTTTTTGTATATCATTTATGGATCAGCGAATTATATTGCTACGGCTGTCAAATTTATTTTTGTCATTTGACCCATACTCTGGATTATATGTTATCAATATAAGCCAAATTCTTCCAAAAAAAAAAAGAGAAAGTGAGATTTTTTTTTTGCGATTTCTTACGAAAAAATTAGAATAACGTGGCATAAACTCCGATCCAATTAGGGACCAAATAAACTCCAAGATTTCTTACGAAGAAAGATATGAGGTGCAAATAGTAGTGATTATAGTAATGAATAAAATAATTTCATATCATCATGCACTTTATAAAATAAGGCATTATAATGTTAAGAGCACGTTTGGTAGCACGAAAATCGGCCGATTTGGTTGATTCTGCTGAAATTTATAAAGTTCTGGCTAAAATGGCTGCATTGACTGATTTAAGAAAAAACTACTTTTAAAATATATTTTATCAATAAAATAAAGAAAAAATTATATGTAAAATAGCTAAAATGGTCATCTACAGTAACTTCAGTCAATACTGCCAGAAAAGTAACTTCAACCTTACTTTTTCTGCTTATTACACAACTCAGCGCGCGAAAGCAAAAGTTACGTGTTTGGTGAAAAAATTGGCTGATAAGCTTCATAAGTCGAAAAATAGTGATTCCAAAGGGCCTCTAAATGTTTTTGAATTTTTGAAGCTAAAAGCTTAGGGCCTGTTTACTAACAGAAATATTTTCTGTTTTTCCAAAAATTTGGAAAACTGGAAATAGAAAAGTCAGAAAACATGTTTACCAAACTGTTTTCTAGAAAAAAAACGAAACAGGTTTCACTTTTTACGCGTGAATAGGAAAACTGGCTTATATGCGTTTTCTAGGTTTAGAAAACGCGGTGCTACAGTACTTTCATTTACTCGCTCGACTTGTTCCTCCTACCACCATTACTGCCTTTCATTTCTCCCTTACCTTCCTCGCCTAACTTCATTACTGGGCTTCAACTAATCTCACCTTCCTCCTCCTTTCAAGCTTAAAAGTCGGACGTGAGCTTCGCCAACCACGACACCTCTTCTCCAACACGCCACAGCTTCGGATTCATGTGACCAGAGCTCCCCTACCTCTTCCTCACATGGCTACCACGCTCCAGGTTCACAAATCAGGCCTTCGCTGCTAGGAGCTGAGCCCCGACATCACGACATCTCCCTGTTCTTCCGTTGGCTCTTGTTCTGCCAACGATTTGAAGGTAAGCTCTGAAACCCAATAAATTTTTCAACTTTGCTGATTCAAAATTGAAATCCGATTTGGAATTTGAAAACCAGTTCAGTTTCTTAAGTCTGAACTTCATGGTTAGGGTTTGTTTTTCTTAATTTTACTTTTAGCTTTGTAGCTTCTTTTGGAATCCTTAAAACCTATTCACTCTTAGCTTCAGTTTTTTTCATTTCTGTTAATTGTTGTTGTACTAGTCTATGATAAAGGCTTAGTTGAGTTTGTAATTTATATACTACGTATATACCTTTGTATTCTTGTTTTATGCTTTGAGATGTGTAGTCCAGGTTAGTAGTTACTTCGTATTTGATTTTGTACTTTATTTGTGTAGTTTAGTTAGTTTTATCAAGTTTGTAGTTAATGGAGATTGGGGAAAAATATGTTGTAGTTAAATGGCATTTTCACTTTACATTTTTCAAAAATCGGATGCAATTGGTAACCTGGTGATTGAGATATTCGGTAGTGCATTGGGGCTCTTTGGAGTTATAGTAGGAATAATCATGTCGGCTCAAGCAACTTGGCCATCTAAGGCTTAGTGAGTTGTACTTGACGTTGCATTAAGATCATTTTACTTCATATCTTCTGTGTTCTACTGTTCTGTATCATATTGGTCTCAATGAATTTCAGAATCTTTAATTTACTCTTCGTCTGAAAGAATTGCAATAATAATTTTTGTGTGTTTTTGTCTCTTTCCTTTGAATGTTTTATTTTAAGAGAAGAGACGTCGATCTCGAGATGAAGATGTTAGCACCACATCTACAGGTGCAGCGGGAAATTTTTCTATGACTCGATGCGTTGAAGTCATAAATGCCATGCCGAATGTGTCAACCCGTGCTTATAATGATTCCATTGATGCACTTACAGATGTTGTCCGACGTGAGGCCTTTATGGCTATGCCCGCAGACCGTCAATTGGATTGGGTTATGAGATTTGATTCTAACTAGTTAAAGTGTGTTTGGATTTCGTAATCTATGTTATATGTTTTATGTATGTGCACTTGAACACTTTGGTAGAACAATATTTATGTATGGTTTTGGTGGGATAAAAAACTTGGCAGAAGCTCCTCCTCGTGGTAGAAAACAAAACCATAGAACTTGCACTTCTTTTTGGTGTATATGAGTGTATCAGGTCCTTGTTACACGTGGTTTCCTTTATATTTATAATTGTCAGTTTACAGAATCCCTTGCATTAAAATAAGAAACTAATGTTGTGACACAGGGAATAGTATTATGAGTTATCTATTGCTTTGCGTAAAAATAATATGCTAATGAAAATACAGAACACTATCACAAAAAAAATTGAAAATACAGAACACTAGGTAATGATGACCAGAAATTGTGCAGGGTAATTAATGAAAGTGTTTGTTTGTCTATGTATTGGTTGTGGAAATTATTGAAAGTGATTGTTACGTATTGTGTGATTTTGCATTTGTCTTGCACCTGAAGCATGAATGTTATATGTTATTGCAGATACACAATGTCACATAATGGCAGTGGTGATGATCTTTCAGACTCTGCAAGTGATGAAGATGATGAGTTCGGGGCCCTATTGTTAATGGCTACATGTGTTTTAGTTGACGTCGAAAGAATTCCATGTCGAACGTCTATACTCACAGGTAACGCTTATATCGATGAGTTAATGACAGGTCATCCACTTAGATGCTATGAAAATTTTAGGATGAACCCACCCGTATTCCTGCGTTTATGTGAAAGGCTTAAGAATTTGGATGTTCTACACGATTCAAGGTATTTAAGGGCTGAAGAGCAATTAGGAATAGGTCTTTTAGTGTTATGTACAGGGGCGGGGCAACGTACATGTGCAGAGCGTTTTCAGCATTCAATGCGAACTGTTCACTTATGTGTGAAGCGTGTGGTGAGAGCGCTTGCACGATTGGGCAATGAAGTTATAAAGCCGGTTAATAGGGGCCCTGTTCAACCAGAAATTTTAGAAAAACCGAAATGGTATCCTTATTTTGAGGTATGTGTAAGTTTAATTACCTATATCAATACTTAGCTTAAATAACTCATACTAATAATGGTGTACAAATTTTGTAGAAATGTGTAGGTGCCATTGATGGTACTCATGTAGCAGCCTCAGCACCCGCTTCCAAACAAAAGACGTTTCGCGGTAGACATTCAACGGTCACTCAAAATGTCATGGCAGCTTGTAGTCATGACATGTTGTTTACGTACGTATACGCGGGTTGGGAGGGAACATGCAACGACTCTCGAGTATTTTTAGATGCAATTACAAGAAGCGAAAACGGGTTGCCCATGCCTCCTATCGGTAATACAATAATTATGCAATTTGTGTTAATAAAGTCACTATTTTACGAAAATGGGTTCCCATTGTAGTTGTTATTGACTTCATTATAGGTTATTACTATGTGGTTGATGCTGGCTATCCAAATGTTCTGGGGTTTTTAGCCCCATACCGTGGAGAGAGTTATCACTTAAACGATTTTCGAGGCAGAGGACGAATCCGCAATAAGCAAGCTTTATTTAACTACCGACACTCGTTCGTGCGTAATGTCATCGAGAGGTGTTTCGGAGTACTGAAGGAAAGATTTCCCATTCTAGACATGTCACGTGGTTACCCATTGAGAAGACAAGTTCAAATTCCCATAGCTTGTTGCGCATTGCATAACTTCATTCGCATGCAAGACAGAAACGATGATTTGTTTTTGGTGTACGAGGAAGATGATATGATATTTAACACAGAGGAAAGTACAAGTGAAAATGGATCACTTGAATTTGATATGTCTCAACAACAACAAATGCACGAAATTCGAGAAAGTATTGCAAATGCAATATGGGATGATTATAATGTTTGAGATGTCCGCGTACAACTTGTTCTGATTAACATGTCACTTATTGAACTTTCAATGTTGGGGAACCTTTATGTTATTTTTTGTTGTGTTATTTCAAATGTTTGTGAATGTGCATTTCTTTTTCCAAATATTAAGTCAACGTTGCTTGCTAAAAACGAAGTGAAAAACTGAAAACCATAGGTAAACATGTTTTCTGATTTGGAAAACAAAAAACTGGAAAACGAAAACAGAAAACTGAAGGCTTGAAAACAGAAAATGAAAACAGAAAAATATTTCCGTTAGTAAACAGGCCCTTAGTATCCCTAGTAGAACAATCCTTATTTGTTTTGATTATTTTGGTTTATTTGAGGCGCACGATGTTTACGAGCAGCAAATTGAACAATAAAAATAGCAAATATCATTCGTTGTGATTGTCCATTAGACCATTAATTACTGCATAAAAACAATCTTTATACAGACAAGATGTTTACTCTGGTTATAGAACAGTCGCATAAAAAAAGAATGTATTTATTTGAAACAAAAAACTTTCAAAAGAATAAAAACAAAAAAAAAAAAAAAAACTCCGATCCTCCACCACTATATTCTCTCTTAACCCTTCGCTATGAGATCCAAATCTGTCACCTTGAACCAACACCGTACCGTCCGTATACAAATTAAACCGTGGGATTGTAAGGTGTTAGAGACAATTTCTTAATTTATTTTTGGAAACACGTTTCTTAATTTATTTTAAGAAACGTATCGTAGATGCCTTGGGGTTAGGATTTACTTCTCTATAAATACAAGCTCTCTCCCTTGTAATCATTGTGTGTGGATCCGAAAATAGCAATAATATTCTTGGCTTGGTAGCGCAGCGCCCCCAGACGTAGTCATTCGTGGCGAACTGGGTTACCAAATTTTTGTGTGTTCTTCTTATTATTCATCGCGTGCAGTTCGAAGGAAGATCTCACGATGGCAGACAATTCGAAGACATCAGTGATGCAGTTTGACGGAACGGATTACGGATTCTGGAAGTTGCAGATCAAAGATTACCTGTACGGTAGAGATCTGTATCA